TCATGTTCACACTTCTATTCTTCTCCACAGATTGCTCACTAAGATTAGAACCTGAAAATGATTGTAAAAAGAGTGAACTCAAAGAGCCGAGTAGAAAAAATCGACAACTACCACAATGAGATTTTTCCAATGGAATACTCAATTTTCAAGAAGATCAATTTTCAAATATTAATAGCATTTCTAAAAAGATTATGGAGTAAAACCATTTGGCTTTCGAGTATGAGTTCAAACAAAATATCAGGTTTCATTTCACAAGCTGATATTGTGTCAACCAAACATGATAAATTAGCTCATAAAATTTATCCGTAATTTTTATTTTTCATTTCATCAAGTAAGTGCAACGATCAACCAATGGTGGCCCTCCAAGAGGAATCCACTGGCCAACTTTCGCACCGGCATAGCCCCAATCCTCAATTATCCGCACGAGGGGTATACCATGTGGTTTCAGGTCATTTACCCAAGCAAATGGTGGTTCTCTGAGAGAAACCCACCGACCAACCTTGTCATCGGCGTGGCCCTAACCCTCAATTTCATCCTGATTTAACTTTGTTGCTTAATCATTAAAAAAAAAAATGATTTCTAAGTTAAGAGCTTTCATATAACATTTCCCGTTTTCAAAATCCAGCATTTAGCATGGTGATCAACCTATCTTATTGAATTAAATCAAATCTTCAATTTAATTATGCCATTTCGAGAAATCTAACTCTAATAGACATTAATAGGCTTCAAATAGAAATTCGGGGTATCACATGAGGTGTATGACAAAAAATGTTCTAACCAATCTAATAAAAACACATATGACCATATACTTGCTTGCTGGTTTGGTTCGGTTCAGGGTGGTCTTTTTGGTCCCCAATCTGCAAAACAAACTGATTCCAAAGATTTCCTTAATTTTGGAACTGGCTAAACTGCTGACCCTTTGCATTGGATTGGTTTAATGGTTCATTTGTGCACCCCTAGTCAAAATGCAGTTGTCTGTGTGCAATTTAGCATGGATTTGAATGATTAATCAATTAACTATGGTTTCAAGTATAATTCATATTGCCATCACTTCTAATCTCAAATTTGTGCTGCAGAATTCTCCATCAGCTCAGCAATGCAGGATGCCGACGACTGCAAGTTCTTGATTAGGCGACCTGTAGTACGGTAAATCAAAATATTTCTGAACTTCATCTATTCATGTCCTTTTAGTTGGTAAAACAGTGTCTGGATTTGATGATTATTGCTATTTAACTCTTTCACAGGCAATCCCTTGGGAGGTGCAGGTGTATTAAGTACTTTGCTCTAGATTTGTTCGCTAGATAGCCTAATTAAATAATTTTGTCCATTTATCGTGTTTGAAGAAAAATGTTGGGGGCAGCACGTGATTTCTTTGAGGCAGGGACCGGGCCTCAAATTTTAGAGGGCCTCAATTTTTGAGGCCCATAGAGGATGGTAAAAAAAAGAAGTTAGGACAAGTCTTGGTCGTCTTGGGCCTCAAATTTTGAGGCCCACAGGGGATGGAAAAAAACAAAGAAAAACCGGAGTATTAAGTTAGGGCAAGTTTCAGACGACACAATCTGCTTCGACACTCCGCAGGACGCAGCCTCCGCTTCGCCTCAGGTGACAAGGTATGTTCATCCTCTTTCTCTCTTCTCTCTCCTTTTGCATGAATCGATCTTTTATATATGTTTCTTTCTTTGGTTCACCTCATCGTTTGATTTGTTCTAACTTTGGTTCCTTTGATTCGGGCCTTTACCTTTGTTCCAATAGTGAAAAGTAGCTTCCAAACTTGGGGTTTTTTTGTGTGTGTGTGTGTCACTTTGTGTGATGGTATCAAAAGCTGAATAAATATATTATGGTTCTCTACGTATTTTAATAAATGTGTGTCTTTCATGGCGATCGAGTCTATAATCTATGGCAGACACCTTTTTTTTTTTTTTTTTTTCCTCTCCTTATTTCCACTCCAACCTCACAACAGCAGCAATCATACCCCTTTTCCTCATAAGTTTTTGCATTTTCACATTCAATCCTACGAAAGTTAAGGATCCCTTCTAGTGGGTTGAGCCGTTGAGGTAATAATTAACTTTTTCGATCTCTAAATAATGCTCATACTTAAAAGTGCCAAATTAAGGGTTTTTTTATATTTTATTTTTATATGAAGATATATACCATCATTATTGATGTTATTTGAAGTTGGCTCAGCTAGAATTTCAGTTAATAATACTGTCAAAGCACTTGCCATCAGAATATACAAGCACATGGAAATCAAGAGCAGGCTTTAACAAAACAACAGTTAATGGTTTTTTCTATTTATTTGCACAGGTCTTCTGTTGCAATGATCAATCAATCACTGCTACTAAAGTTGATTCCTCATCGTGAAATCAAGAAAGGGGTAATTGGCCCCCAAAAAACACACACACAAAGTGTAGTTAATATAAAGAGTGAAAGACAAAACTATATATGATAGTGGATGCCACATATAACCTAAAAGTCCCACTACTTCTTCAGCACTACAAGTTCAGCCTCCTATATATATATATAGTCACCTCATCTGATCATATTTTTGTCATCTGTAATCATCAAATTTTAGCAGCTATATAAACAATGAATGTAAAAAAGAAGCTGCGGTTTTCTGTTCCTCATTTCCACTTTTGGACTGTATTTTGGATAATCTGTTTTGTCTTCTGTCCTTTCCTCCAGATTCCAGTGAAAACTCCAGCCAGGAGATCATTCGACCAAACTGCTTGATTTTAGATATTATTAATTTTTATATTATATTTATTGTTTGATCGACAATGCTTAGTTATTATTGTTTCTCTTTGACTCTCCATCCATTTTATGTTAATTGTGATCTTCTTTCACATGCTAGCCGGACACTCTTCTCAGGATCTCGTGAGGTTATTTGCCTTGAACTTGAATCAAATCATTGCATATTGAGGTAATATATATTTTCTTTAAACAAAGCAAATTATTATTATTATTTTTTTGAAGTCTAGTTTTATGTTGATTATGGTTCTTGTTATTTAGATTTCATTATGTCTACAAGAAAATTTGAATCTGGGCATGAAAAAAGTAAAAAAAAAAAAAGAAAAAAAAAAGAAAGAGAAGAGAGAAGAAGAATTGATTCAATCTCAAAGGATATAATCTTAAGTTTTTTAGGAGCAATACACAAATAGAGAGTTTAGTTGAAGGTTTGGTAAATGAAGAACATATGAATGCGAAAGCAAATGAAGAAATTCTCAATAAACATGAAGATTTAATGAATGAAGATCATAGTAAGTTAATCAATGAACATGAAGATTTAATGAATGATGATTATAGATATTAGTTAGTTGTCTTATGCACATTGCACATGCGCACAATTAAATTAGCTAGAGAATTTGAAATCATCGTGTGAAAATTCTGCACTCTCATAATTTTTTTTGCGTGTGTGAAACTTAAGGGCCTCACATTTGAAAGTTTGCCTAGGGCCTCTCAAAATATTTGGAAACTCTGGGCTGGCCCTGGGAAGGGAACAAGGCTCAATGCGTGAAGGATAATTTTATGTTTTGAATTCATTTATCGAAAAATTTTAGTGTAGTGAAAGATAATGAACTGAAGAGTGGAAGAATATAAATAAGAACCTTGCTTTATAGGGAAAAAAAAAAAAAAAAATTGTTAATTAAAATTTTGGTATATATAGTTTGAGCATTCTAGACACATTGGTATTACTTAAACAGTGAATGGACATGTGAGGTCCTAAATTACTTTCCTCTAGCAAATTTTGAAATTAATTCAGACACTAGAAATTAACAAAATGAGATCATACTTCCTCCATATTTTGTAGAAGTCTTTTTCTTTTAAAATCTCTGTTTATATAAAGAGCCCTAAAAATTCAAAGTTCTTTTTACTTTCATTTATTCAATTGAGGCTTTTTTTTTTTGGAATTGTTGACTTTTCCTTTATTTTTATTGCAGAACTTTAAACATAAATTATACTATAACCTATGGTTAATTTTTAAAGTGACCATGATAAGCCGGGGAAAAAAAGTGTATGCTTGAATAGTCAAGGGTGAAAATGCTATTTTGTGCTTACAACAATTTCTTACATGCCTAGGCATGCTCTTGACTGTTTCCATCTTTGAACATCTAGATGAATTATGGTCTGCCCCGTTTTCATGCCTTGGAACACTTCTAAAATTGTCCCTGTCAAAGAACTCCTGTAGAATGGTTCTCACACTTCCAGAAGGCTAAAAGAGTAACTTTACCAGGACCCTCAACAATTCTACCTCATAAATGAAGAGATTGGAGAGAGAACTTAGAAAGGAAGATCCTCTATTAACTTTCAACAAGTTCACTAGAAATGAGTAGAAATATAAAAAAGAAGAAAAATGAGAGAATTGTGTTAAGGCTTGAATGAGATGAATTACTCATTCATAACTTTACTATTTATAGATAAAAAGAGCACATGCTCATGTTACAAAAAAAGTAAACTAAATCAAATCAAAATCAAATCACAGCATATTCTATAGCATAATAAAATTTCTGTTAATATGGTAAGTCATTCCATAAATCGTGGCTATCATATATATGCTAACATATGCATAATCAAATCTCTGCAATTATGGTTAGTCATTTCATAAATCGTGGCTATCATATATGCTAACACTCCTCCTCAAGTTGGTGCGTGGATATTTGAAACGCCCAACTTGGACAATGCAATCTCAAACACAATCTTGTTGACGCCCTTTGTCAGAATGTCTGCAAGCTGCTGAAAGCTTATGAAAATGGAGTGCAAATTTGACCAGAGTTAATCTTCTCTCGGATGAAGTGACGGTCCACCTCTATATGCTTAGTCCTATCATGTTGAATGGGATTTGCTGCTATGTTAATGGCAGACTTGTTGTCGCAGTAGAGTGAGAATGGAAGCGACATTGGAAGGCATAAGTCTGTTATCAAGGTTTTCATCCATAGCAACTCACATACCCCAAAAGCCATGGCCCTATACTCTGCATCTGCATTAGATCGAGAGACAACATCCTACTTCTTACTGCACCAAGTAACCAAGTTACCACCAATAGTGTTACAATAACCCGAAGTTGACCTCCTATCTGAAGCCGATCCTGCATAATTAGCATCTGTCCAAGCCTCAACACGTAAGTGACCATGATTGGCAAACAAAATACCACGGCCCGAACACCCTTTTAAATAGTGAAGGATACGAATAGTTGCATCAAGGTGAAGGGTATGAGGAGAGTGCATGAATTGACTCACGACACTCACGGCATAAGCAATGTCAGGTCGAGTCATGGATAAATAGATGAGTTTCCCCACAAGTCGCTGATACTCACCAACATCTGACAACAACTCCCCCTCAGAATCAGCCAATCGATGATTCTACTTAGTTGGAGTATCAGCAGGATAAGCGCCAAGTTGACCAGAAGCAGAAAGCAAGTCAAGAACATACTTGCGTTGAGAGATGAAAATGCCAGCCTTGGAGCGAGCCACCTCAATGCCCAAGAAGTATCGTAGGGGACCAAGATCCTTAATCTCAAAATGACGTCCAAGATAACTCTTAACCTTAACAAGTCTGGTAGTATCATCTTCGGTAAGAACAATGTCATCGACATACATAATGAGAGCAACTGTCTTATCACCTGAATGACGTAAAAATAAGATATGATCTACTGCACTTTGATGGAAACCAAACTTGAGCATGGCAGTGCCAAGTGATCGACAAAGACGACATACCATACCAGAATGAGCAGGAGAACGAAAGTCCGGAGGAGGAACCATGTACACCTCCTCCTGCAAATCGCTATTGAGAAAGGCATTCTTAACATCTAACTGAAATAAAGGCCAAGATCGAATCGCAGCAACGGAAAATAATACACGGATAATATTCATCTTGGCAATAGGGGCAAAAGTCTCCTAATAATCTATGTCATAAGTCTGAGCATAACCCTTGGCAACCAACCAGGCCTTGTAACGAGCAACTGGCCCATTTGGAGTATGCTTAACTGTAAACACCCAACGATAACCCACATCCTTTCGTCCAATAGGAAGCGGAACCATGTCCTAAGTCTGATTTTTTTCAATTGCTTGTAGTTCTTCTGTCATAACATCATGCCATTGTGGTTATGTTAGTGCATCTGCAACACTAGAAGGAAGAGGAATCAAGGCAACAGAAACAAGAGAACTCCGATAGGAGGGTGAGAGAGCACAATCAGAAACAAAATTAGAAATAGGGTATGTACAAGAACATTTACCCTTTCAAAGAGGAATGGGGCGATCATTAAGCGAAACAGTAGCTTAAGAAAGCGGAGCTGGGAAAAAAAATTGTATTCTTGACAATTTTTTAAAGTGTATGCTATGTTTGACTTTTCTCTCTTCTCTCTCTTCTCTTTTTTCTTTCTTTTTACGTCGGAGTCTTTCACTCCGGTGTCAGCCGTTTTCGTTCGAGTTTGAGCTACTGGATTTCCGATTTGTTGGTAAGGAACCGTGATATGCATCGATCCTATCTCAGTGTTGCGACTTTACCACGTCCCAACCTTCATGGAGAAATCAAAAGCTGCTCTATAGGCAACGATTTGGTTTTTAGGGTTGATCATCAATGCATCAAGGAGCGAGAATCTGCCTTGCGATCATGTCTGGTAGGTCGCTTTGATAGATACGTGGGGGTACTGATGGGATTGAGGCTTAGGCGTCGAAAACTTGGAAGGTATCAAGCGGGGTAAAAGTTTCTCCTTTGCCCGATGATTTGCTATTATTCAGGTTTCCATCGGAAGCTGAGGCCTTAAGGGTTTTGGATGAAGGGAGGAAGAGATGGGGCGAAGCTTTGTTATCCATCGACATTTGGTACTTCGCGGCTGGATGTTCTGTTGTAAAAGAGAGAATAATAGGAAGGGTGATCTTGTTTGGTTTGCCTCTTCATCTTTGGTGTAACAAGCTATTTGAAGCAATTGGGAACTTATGTGGTGGATTTCGAAGAGTCGAGGCAGATGTTTTGGGGAATGGACAACGAATCCTCCTCTATGTTTCCATTGGAAAAGTGATACATGAGTATGTTTTTGTTGAGGACCAACGTGTGGCCTTCAGGGTTAATCTGATAGAGGAAATCACACCTCGCATCCTTCTAAAATCCTGCTATGGTATTGGAGAAAGCCCTCACATCCTGGCTGTTGCAACTAAAGGTAGTCGCCGGAAACCATAGAACCACCAAGGCGTTGAAGGAAAGAGGCGACTGCCTTCTCACGTGCTTCTAGCCCTCAGTCATCGCCTTTTGTTCCCTCGTAATATCCGCGCTAACGGATACCAACCACGTGGCCATAATCGTGGCATTGAAGGTGATTTTTATGTTGCAGATTCAGATGGGCCTAAACGTGGATATACAAAGGTCTATGGGCAAAACATGACAAGTGGGTCGCTAATTAATCACAACCCACAGGAGTTTAAGAGGGCTGTTCAACAGGGGCCTGTTTCCTTTCAAAACAAGCCCAGCCTACATTCTTTAAGCAACTTGAAGAGAAAGGTTTTACGGGGGCCCAATAATAAAATCTTAGTTTCTCTTATTAACTCCAAGCCTAGCCCACCTACTTCTACTGAAATAAGCCATTCACAGAGCCGTCGTCTCAACGAAACCTTTGCAACTTTCTGGAATTCACCGGAGAAGAGATGGAGGAATTTATCTGTTGCCGCAACTGGTGGAGGTCTTATTAAGAAGGGATCGCGTCACTCTCAGTGTTGTGCAGGTATCTCATCTTCATCCCTCTCTGATTCTACATAGACGAAGGAACGAATCTTTGGATCTTCTTCTCGAGACTTTCACAGTGGTGTTAGATGGTCCCGAAAAGAAAAGCAGAAGTGGACTTCTTCTCTCGTTCCAGGTATGCCTTCAGCTTCACATTCTCAGAGTTTTAATATTCCATCCTCTTCTTCTACCCCTTCTAGTGAGGTGTCGAGGAGTGTCGGCGTTGTGATTGAAGTGGAAAAGAGGCGTGGGCTATCGGTAACAGACATTGGAAATGGCCTTTTGCATGGGCCGAATACAGAAGGAAAGGAAGATAGTGTTTCTGGTGTTTCTAGGCAGATGGAAATCACTGACTGTGCAGTCAAGAAATTTTATGAAGGGGTTACAGTCTGTAGCTCTGTTCAATGGGATTCGATTAAATGCAGCTTTGAAAGGCCTTAACTGCATGCCTTTTGCAACGGTTGAGGGGAATGATTTTGCTACAGAATCATATTCTTTTTATGAGAATGACAAAGAGTTTGAAGAGGAGGCGGTTGTTGATTCTGGATTTCTCCAACAGGTTAGTTCCAAAGAGCTTGCACCCTGGATGGAGAATGGTTTTGAAATTCTAGAGGAGGAACCACTGGCCATGGTGCGACCTGATGAAAAGGTTGCTGATTTGGGGAAAGATTGGGTAGTTGACAATATTGGAGCCACTAGTGAGCTGTTGGGAGTCTCTTCAGAAGGTAATAAAGATCAGATGTTATCTATCCTTGAAGCGATTGTGGAAGGGAGAGCGGTCGTAGTCACCAATGAAGTTATGAACATGAGGCCTTTATCGTCTTGGAAAGGGGCAAAGGAGATAAAAAATCTTATTTCTGAAGTCAACTATGAAGGGAAAAGAGGAGTGGTGAAGGAAAGGGGAAGGACCAGGAGTAGAGTCTTAGGAAGGGTGGAGGGGAGATAATGTTATCAAGTTTTTAATGAAACTACGAATCATTACATGGAATGTTCGAGGTCTCAATGATCCGAACAAGAGAAGGGTGGTGAAGGTTGCGGGTGCCCAGGTTGTTTGTTTACAAGAAACCAAGCTGGCATCCATTTTTGATGGGGTGGTTAAGAGTTTGTGGGGAGGAAGGTTTGTGGAATGGGAGGCTTTGAATGCCATAGCTACTTCGGGTGGGATCTTAATCATGTGGGACAGCAGATGATTATCTAGAACGGACGTGTAGATTGGGAGATTTTCTAAGTTTTGTCTGTTTAATATGTAATAGGACAGTTTCAGATGGGTCTTTACTGGAGTCTATGGACCGGTTATTGATGATGAGCGACCCATCTTTTGGGAGGAGCTTATTCATGTCCAAGGATTGTGGTCTCTCCCTTGGTGTTTGGGAGGAGATTTCAACTCTGTCAGGTCCCCGTCAGAGAGGTCTACAGGGGGAAGAATGTCATTGGAAATGGATCAATTTTCTGATTTTATTGATGGGCATCTTCTAGTTGACTTACCAATGGAAGGTGCAACCTAGACTTGGTCGAATGGCAGGGATCCAATCACTCTTTCAAGACTAGATAGATTTCTAATTTTTGGGGCGTGGGAAGAGAAATTCTCGAATGTCATTCAGGCGGTGTTAGCAAGGGTTATCTTTGATCATGTTCCTTTGGTCTTGGATTGTGGGGGCTTGTGTTCTCGAAGAACCCTGTTTAGATTTGAGAATATGTGGCTACGTGCAGAGGATTTCCAAGAGCAAGTCAGATCTTGGTGGGAGGGAGTCATTGTTTCAGGTTTGCCCAGTTTCATAATAACAAAGAAGTTAAGAGCTCTCAAATTCGCTCTTAAACAGTGGAACAAGGTTGTTTTCGGGAATCTGGAATGGAGGAAGAACATAGTCCTTGCTGATTTTTCCGAGATTGACCGTCTTGAGGAGGCGGGTGGGGATGTGGAGTCTTGACGTTCTAGGAGAGTCTCCTGTCAGGTGGTTCTTGCTGAGATTGCTTGTATGGAGGAGATCTCATGGAGAGACAAATCTCGAGCTCTTTGGCTAAAAGAAGGGGATAGGAATACAAAATTCTTCCACAGATTAGCTAACGCTCATAGGAGGATTAATCATATTGGAAGAATTCGGGTGGAAGGTGTGGAGCTGTGGAGAGAGGAGGAGGTGCGTAACGGGATTGCTTCTTTTTATCAGAAGCTTTACACCGAGCCTTTAGTTTGGAGGCCCAAACTTGATGGTCTCCATTTTGAGGCTATATCTGAGTTGGATAGATATAGGATTGAGAATCCTTTTACTAAAGAAGAAGTTTTAAAGGCTTTATCAAGTTGTAATGGGGACAAAGCTCCAGGCCTGATGGTTTTACTATGCGTTTTTTGTTGGAAAGTTGGGCGATAGTAAAATACGAGGTAATGGGTACTTTTCAGGAATTTCATTCTTCTGGTGTCTTTGAGAAGTCGCTTAATGCTTCATTTATTGCCCTTATCCCCAAGAAAGGAGGCGCTTCTGACATAAAGGATTTCCGTCCAATTAGCTTGGTGGGTTGTATTTACAAACTTATTGCTAAGGTGCTTGCTCTAAGGATGAGGGAAGTAATGGATGGGATTTTATTTCGGACTCCCAGAACGCCTTTGTTGGAGGACGACAAATTCTTGATTCAGTTCTTATTGCTTGCGAATGTGTGGATTCCAGATTGCGAAACGGTATTCCTAGAGTTTTATGCAAAGTTGATATTGAGAAAGCATACGACCATGTGAACTGGAATTTCTTACTTTATTTGTTACAAAGAATGGGGTTTGGAAGCAAATGGAGGAAGTGGATCGAGACTCGTCTTTCATCTGTTAAGTTTTAATTCTTGTGAATGGCTCTCCCGCTGGTTTCTTTGGTTGCACCCGGGGCATAAGACAAGGTGCCTTTGTCATCTTTCCTCTTTCTTCTTGTTATAGAGGGTTTAAGCAGACTTATGTGCAGGGCAGAGGACCTTGGCTTTATTAAGGGATTCAGAGTGGGTAGAGATTTAGTCCATCAGATGGAGATTTCTCATTTACTTTTCGCAGACGACACCCTGGTTTTCTGTGATGCTGATGTGTCTTAACTTCGTTATTTGAGGTGCAACCTAACTTGTTTTCAGGCGGCTTTCGGGCTAGAGGTCAATGTGGCTAAGAGTGTGCTTGTCCCAATAGGGAATGTTCAAGATATCTCCTCCTTAGCTACAGTTCTTGGATGCAGGGTGGGCTCTTTCCCTATTTCTTATTTGGGGTTGCCCTTAGGGGTCTCTTCAAGGATAGTGGGGAGTTGGGATTTAGTGATTGACAGTTATGCGAAGAGATTAGCAGAATGGAAAAAGCAATATTTGT